AACTCTTGTGGTATATTAGATTTATAAATCTCGTTTAACTTGTACTTTATCAGATTTTAATCCATGACTCATTTTAATGAGATTTTTACTCTTTAACATTAGTAATGGCTTTAAAAGTTAATATAATTTGTACATTTTTAAAAATATGTTATAAAAGACGTATATATTTAATATATTTTAAGTATATATTTATATTAAATATATTTATATTAAGTATATATTATATACCTAAGTACATTAGTATGTTAAAATTAAAATGCTGATTTTTATTAAAGACGTCTGACACAAATAATTTATAGTTGATTGTAAAATCATATGATTAAAGAATTGTTAATTTATTTTTCTTTCTTTTTGTACTTATTTCATATATATATTAAAAACTTATTTATTTTCCTCATATTTCAGGTTCATGCTGATCCTGATGATTTGGGCCAGGGTGGCCATGAGTTATCAAAAACTACTGGCAATGCTGGTGCTCGTCTTGCTTGCGGTGTTATTGGCATCACAAAGTAAACGCATATATATGATGGGTGCGAGAAGTTAAAAAGATGGGGTATATATTAGAGAGGGTATATACATACTATTTTCTTACTACTTGGTTTCCAATATATAGTCATGTCATGCAAGTGTTATTTTTTTCAATATAATATGATGAAAGTTTTGTTCTTAGAAGTTAACATTAATGATAACATTAATGTTAAAATATGAATTTATGTATGTTGCCTATGGAACTAAATAAGTATAGAAAAATATATATACAGATCCAGAACATTTTTCCGCATGAATATTTATAAAAAATATTCTGCTCGTCTATAATATATATTATAAAATATACATGCGACTTCATCTATAATATATATTAAATATATATTCTGCTCATCTATAATATACGTTATAAAAATATATATTCTGCTTCATCTATAATGTACATTAAATATACATTCTCGTTTCTGAAAATTTATATCGAAGCTTGTTAAATGACTTGAATATAATATAACTACATAACTACGCCATAATATAACTACAGTATATTTAAATGGCAAGCGTATTTGGAAAGATGTACTCCACTTTTCGAATTGGTTCCAATTATAAATCTTATCTAGTCTTATCGTGGTACCGATGATAATACTGTGTCAATCGATGACGCATCTAAAAATTACACCGTTCAATAAGCATAATATATTAATTTCGTTGGTTGTCGCGATCGTAAGCTGTCACGAAATTTGCAAGTATGTTGTCAATAAATCGAGAAAACGAACCAAGGATAAGTGTCTTTGACAATTACTATGACTACAGTAGCTCTGAAGACGAGGAAACTGAAGATGAGAGGTATGAATTTAATTTAGAGTTTTCGATATTGTCTGAAACATTTGTCTAAATATAAGTGAAATAGAATGAATTTTAATGAATTTAGAATAAATAAATATAGAGAGGGAGGAAAGAGAGAAACAGTAAAAAATTGCAATACTGATTCGTATAGAAAAGTTTACCATTCTTATTTACATTACAAATCGTTTTACGAGTTCTCAGTTTTTATTTTTTTAACGCGTAAATGCATTAGTTTTGTTTTTACATTTTTCTAAAGTTATATTTTAAGAGAAAGAAATTGTTTTCAATTACGTTTATTCCATATACAAAGTCATATATTACATTATGATTTGTTTAAAGATATATACATATATGTATATACGGAGTGTCTCGTAATTCATCCGACAATACTCATGGGCAGGTAGAGCTGACTAAACTGGGATAAAAAGTCCTCTACCATTTTACAATTTTCGCAATAGTTAACAGTTTAGATATTAAAAATTGCTGAATATTAGTTTTTAATAATTTTTTTCTCAAATACTATCAACTTTACAGAACAACAGCAAGAGAAAAAAATTATTTATTTTCTCTTCATATATAGAATTCTACAAATTTTTTTAGAATTTTTAATGATCTTTTTAGTACTGCATTTTCTTATTTTTATAAACATGAGAAAATACGATATTAAAAAATTATTAAAAAATTCTGAAAAAATTCTCAGAACTTTACGAGAAGAAAATAAACAATTTTTGTCTCTTACTGTTTTTCTGTAAAGTTCATAGTATCTGAATAAAAAATTTATTGAAAACCAATATTCAGTGATTTTTAATAAAAAATATCTTGTTAACTATTACGAAAATTGCAAAATAGTAGAGGACTTTTCGACTCAGTTTAGTCGCTCTACCTGATGTATGTAAAGTTAGCCCTCCTTTTTTTGAAAATTAAAATTTTGACAATTGTTCCAGATTATTCTGAGTTTGTTCTATATTGTTCCAAAGCCGATATTATCTTATTCCAAAAACATTTTCTTCAAAATAAAAAAACCATTTTTCAACAAACGAACGCTCTGATCAAAAGTTAAAGATACACTCTTCTTATTCCAACGCAGAATTTTATATTTTCAGTTGTTCTAATCTTATAAAAGATAATTCTGCAGTGTGTATCTAGAACCATTATCGGTTCTTCCCAACATTGAAAAAACTGATTTTATTTTTCTCGATTTCTCCGTTCGACTTACGCAATTGTCTTTTTGAACTTTTTGAACAAAGTTTTTGGAACAAGAACAATCTGTAACAATGAATTGTTCGATTATTAAAAAAAGGGATGCCAGATAAGAAAATGGATTTTTGTTTTCGAAAATACGCGCGTCCGCTCGACTTACTATTGTCGAAGGTACAAGGAGCGGGAATAGCCTAGCAGGCGCGCCGCGCCGTTTGAGCTTAGATGCTCACGATGGTAAGTCCCGCTCCTCGCGGCCCACGCGCTCGGTGGGCCGTACTTTCGGCAATAATAGGTCGGGAGGACGTGCATATTCGGCTATCTTTAAACGTTAATATCTCGTTAATTATTGCGAGCATTACAAAATGGTAAAGGACTTTTCTATTCAGTTTAGTCCACTCTACCTGCTCGAGACGAATGGGGCCGTATATTCATGCCATCCTATATATATATTTTTTACTACACCTAATATATATATATATATATACATATATAATATATGTATATTCATATATACACACGCACACGCAACACACATACACACACACCGGATGTTTCGAACCATCCGAACCTTTTATCTTCGTAGGATAAGGTTCAATCGTAAAAATGTTCAGTTTTAAAAAATACTCAATGAAAAATAATTTTATTTCAGTGTTTCGAAAAGTTCTCGATATCTATTAGATACTGGAATAAAAAGTTGGGTGTTTCATTTAAAAAAATCGACATGACCTTGACCTGACCTCGGCGACGCCATCTAAAGTTCTTATCAAACTGATAAGTATAGTAAATAGATCTTAAATTCTACAATTTTTGTCAGAATTTTTACAATTGGATCTTATGTGAAGATAAAAGGGTTATACAGGTGGTCTGAAACACCCGGTATATATAGAGTGTCTCATTTTTAATGATCCAGTCGAATATCTCGAAAACTAAACCCAATCGACAAAAATGTTTCAGACTAAAGTTGTTTGGGCATATAAGATGGTATCATTGATTTGACCTTGGATAGTTCTTTGAAAGTCACGTGAAGGTTGTTTTCAATTTTTTAAATGGAACCCTCTATTTCTTATTACATATTCTTATAGCTCATCTTGAGAGCTTCCAGAACACTATAATAAAATAATTTTGCATGAAGTATTTTTTAAATTACAGTACCGCTGACATTAGCATTACGTAAGATGTTCGACCGATGGCTTATACCTCTTGAATGTCGTTCAGGATCATGTCCTGAATAACATTTGTTAAGATTAAGGATCATTGGTGATTGTTTCTCTTATTTTCATTTTTGCACTGAAAATTCATTTTTATGTAAAAATGAAAATAAGAGAAATAATTTCCAGTGACCTTGATTTTAACAAATATTATTCAGGACATGATCCTGAACACCATTCAAGAAGTTTTAGCCATCGGTCGGACACCTTGCGTAATGTTGATGCCGGCAATATTATAACTTTCAAGCCTTATAACTCGAAAAGTACTAAAAATTATTTTATTATAGTGTTTTGGGGAGCTCTCGAGACGAGCTATAAGAATATGTAATGAGAAGTAGGGGGTTCCATTTAAAAAATTGAAGGCAACCTTCACGTGATCTTCAAAGAACTATCCAAGGTCAAATCAGTGACACCATTTTATATCCCTTTTCGAGCCAAACAACTTTTGTCTGAAACATTTTTGTCTAGTTCAGTTTTCGAGATATTGGGCTGGATCATTTAAAATAGGATATCCTGTGTACGTGCGTGCGTGCGTATATATAATTTCAATAATTATAATGTATTATATTTTATAATAATAAATCAAAAAGAAAATACTATATATTATATATTATATATTGGGTGTAGGAAAAAGTTCGTGGCAGTTTTTTAGTAAAATTCAAGTCAAAATTTTTCTTAGAGTATTAAAATCAATTTATTTAAACCAAATATGCTCCATTATTTTCAATAATATTTTGCCATTTTTGGGGCAGAGCCATAATCCTATCGCGATAGAACTTCTGTGGTCGAAAAACTGCTTCAAGTGATTTTCACAGGCCTCTTTTGAAGCCAGCTTTACATCATTAAGAGAGTTCTGCAGAGACCTAAACAAATGATAGTCTGAGGGTGCTATGTCAGGACTATACGGTGGATGTATTAAGACTTGCCAGCCAGCTCTCGCAATTTTTGCCGAGTTATCAAAGATGTGTGTGGTCGAGCGTTGTCGTGATGGAAGACGACCTCTTATTGATTAATTCTGGCCGCTTCCTTTCAATTGCTTGTTGTAATTTCTTCAGTTGTTCACAGTAGAGTTCGGAATTAATTGTTTGATCGGGTGATAACAACTCATGATGAACGATTCCCTTCCAATTTCATCACACACACAACATCACCTTCTTCGTCGTCAATCCAGGTTTTGCGATTGCTTGTGCCTTTCTCCTTCCTTTATCCACGATCTTTTGCGAGTTCGATTGTCGTACGTGATCCATTTTTCATTACCAGTTATCATTCTCTTCAGAAATGGCTCAATTTCATTCCGTTTCAGTAGTATATCGCAAATGTTAATTCGATCCATCATGTTCTTAACATTCAACTCGTGAGGAAAAACATCGAGCTTCTTTTTGTATCCAGCTTTGTGTAAATGATTTAAAACTATTTTGTGATCGATAGTTCCCTGACAATCTCCACAGTGCTCACATGCTTATCACGCTCGACTTTTTCCATGTTTTCATCGAACTTTTCAGTGATTGGTCGACTGGAGCGAGGTTCATCTTTCACATCGAAATTTCCAGTACGAAAACGAGCGAACCATTTCCGTGCTGCTAATTTTGATAGAGTATCTTCATCGTAAATAGCATAATTTTTTCACAGGCCTGTGCAGCGTTCTTGCTTTTATCGTAGCAATACTGCAAAATGTAGCGAATTTTTTCCTTATTTATTTCCATTTTCAAAATAAAATAACTTTTGATCCACTTCACCGATCACTTCAATCTTTTTCGACTCAAATCAAAAATTGAAATGTCATTTTTTAAACGCATGTTGTCGATGCAATTAGTAGTTACCAAGTGCTGAGCATTTAATGTCATCTAGTGGGAAAAACACCACGAACTTTTTCCCACACCCAATATATATATACACACACGAGGGCAATAAGTACTCGTGTTAGTAATGAAGACGCAAGCTTTCTACAAAAATTTTTTTTATTTTTCAACGTAATCCCCTTTTAGGAGGATACACTTTTCCTAACACTTCTGCCATTTTTTTAACCCCTCAGAAAAATATGAACTTATTGTCGAACTCTACAAAATAGGCCTTTGTTTCGGCGATGACCTCCTCATTTGACGTGAATTTCTTTCCACCGAGCCATTTTTTCAAATTTGGAAACAAGAAGAAATCACAGGGAGCTAAATCCGAAGAGTACGATGGATGCGGCAGCAATTCGTAGCGCAATTCGATCAATTTGATTGCGGAGGAGTGAGCCGGTGCATTGTTCTGATCGCGGCACCTATCGGGCCGACAACTTTTTCATTTCCAAGTTATCATGCAAAATATTGAATGCCGTTCTGTACGACACGCCTACGGCTTCTGCTACTTCATGCATTTTCGTTCGGCGATCAGCAAAAATCATGTCGTGGACTTTTTCAACTGAGGATTTCCTCAGTAATCACGTCTACCGGACAGTCTGGGCGCTCCTCATAAAAAACAGACAAACGATCACGTTTGAATTCGTTGAACCAATATTTGACGGTTGTCATAGATGGTGAAGAGTTCCCATAGACGGCAAAACTTCGCTTTTATTTCTTCACACGTTTTTCCATCCAAAAATAAGAAATGAATTACGGATCGATATTGCTCTTTTTCCATTGTATCAGAAAACGTCAATCATGCTCATTACGAATTGCTGTCAAATCAAGACTATTGCATGAATCATTCTGAAATTTTGTATGGCATCGTTCGAAAGATGGTAGTACATGATGATGATGCCAACTTACATCAGTAACGTCGCCTGTCTTGAAATATGGGTACTTATTGTATATATATATATATATACATATATATATATATAGAGCATTTTCTTCTTGAAATTATCTATTAAATTAGGTGTAATTTTATATTCTATAATTTTATATTCTATAAAAAAGTAGATTGAAGATTTGAAGTGACAATAAATAAATGTTTTGTTTTTGTGAAAGTGAGTGATTTTTTTTGCAAAATAAACAAGTGTATTAACTACAAAATGATAAAAAGAAATGTAGGAAGGATTAAAATAGAATAAGGAAACAAATATGAAAAAGAGATAATAGTGAAAGATGAGATAATAATAAATAAATAGTAAATAAAATGCTGAAAATACTGAGCTCAGATCTCGTGCTTTTCAGTTTGCAGGACGTTCCACCATGGGACGTGTTCGAATGTTATCCTCCTTCAGAAAGTGGATCTATGCAAAATAACAGATTTTTCGAAATCGTCATTTGGATCCTAAAGATATTCATTTATGGATTATTATTTGCTATCGTTTTTTGTAGCGGTATCGTATCTAAGTTATTTGTTCTATTGGCCATCGCACAATTACGGAAAAATCAATCGTTGCCCTTTTGTAATCATAATGAAGGTAAAATTTGAATTTAAAGAGAATTCAAAATTTGAATTTAAATTGAAAATTTACGTTACAAGACAAATTGAAAAGTACAAATATTTGCATTCCTTTTATCCAAAAGTGTACAATTTTTCAAATTTAGTCTTGTATAAGTTTTAAAATTTTAAAAACATTTGCAGAGGCGCAAATTGCGCACATACGAAATATTAAAATATAGGATTTCAAACAATTGTCAAAGTTTTACTAAAATATTAAATCGAATTAAAATATCGAATCGAATTAAAAAGTTAATTAAATGAAAATTTAAATTAATTAAAAAAGTTAAATTAATTAATTCTAAAGAGAGATATGGGAATTGATATTTGTAATTGAAAGGATTAAATAGTTAAAAGAATCCTGCTGAGAGAATCAAGTTGAAAAGATAGTTTATAAAAATTTGTAATAAAATATCGAGGATATACTATTTTCTTATCATTTATTTATCACATTATTATATTAGTAATCACGTTAATACGTAAAAAATTATGTTTTATTATTAATTATATTATGTTAACTACTTCATGAGAAGAGAAAAGGAAGATCTTTCCTTCTTATCGGATATATTCTTTTATACTCTAAAATTCTTGAATATTCCTTAGAATTAGAAGAGCTTTTTACCGAATATGCGCAAGATGGCCGTATAAAATGGACATGGTGTTTGATTTTCATATATCTCATACCGGAATGTATCGGAATGTTAAACACCTTGTGGCACTATCTATTCAAAAGAAAACCAAGGATGCCAAAGAAATGGAATGTTTTACTCATGATCTTGATAGATACTCTTCACACGCTCGGTTTAGTATTGTTAACTTTTATCATTCTACCAGAAATCGGTGCAGTGCAAGGTGCCGCGATCTTCTGTTGCCTATGTTTCATACCGGGATTGTTGAGTAAGTGCGCATAATTAATTTACGAAGTCCTGGGCCAGTATTCATAGTTTCTTATTTTAAGATTATCTTATTAATGACCTAAGATGATAATATGGCTTTCTCATTGGTCCATGATATCTTAAGACTATATGTATATCTTAAGACCGTCTTAAATATAAGATCTGACTATGTATACAGGCCCTAAAAATTAGAAGGTTCCAATAGCAATCATCTTCTCGACATTTTCAATTTTGAAACATTTTGCTTTAACTTACCGTTACTACGCTAGTTATCGAAACTCTATTAAAAATTACAACGGTAAAAATTTTTGTTTCTACTACATATCATATGATTCCGAAAAAAATTTGACTTGTCATATAAATACATTAAATACAATTTAAATTGTTAATATTTAATAGATCTACTTTCGCGAAATGAAGAGAGCCGTAATATATCAGCAATTAAATTAAGATTACTAAAAATTTTTGATGCACTGGCATTGATCGCCCAAATCAGCGGGATGTTGTGGCCTTTGATTCTTACTATCGAGCACGACGTTGATAAAACATTGATGTGGATTACTCCCATTGCTCTTGCGTTATGTTCAAGTCGCTGGTGGAGCAACTTTGTACCGACTCACAGCAACGTTGGTATGTATCGATCATATATACATATATATATACAAGGTATTTATTCCATTTTAACCACCAGAAAGTTACAGTATACTGTAACTTAAGCCTTACTTACTTTAAAGCCTTACGTACTTTTAAGCCTTATAACTCAAAAAGTATTTTATGAAAAAATATTTTATTATAGTGTTTTGGAAAGCTCTCTAGGTGTACTACAAGAATATTAAAAAGTGGAGGTTCTATTTAAAAAATTTAAAGTATCCTTGTTCTGATCTTGACAAGACTATCCAAGGTCAAATTAATGATACCATCATCTCCCCCTCGAAGTCACAAAACTTTTGTCTAAAGCACTTACCTCTAAAATGTATTGTCCAAGAGTATTTAAGAGTCAATTAAAATCGGACACTGTATATATAAATAATTTCAAATGTGTTGCCTCGTGTAAAAGGAGGAAGAGGGAGGGGGGATGAGAGAGAAAGAGAGAGAGAGAGAGAGAGTTTTATCTTATAAATTTTGATAAATGTATATTCATAACTTACATTTTATGGCGAGTTTTTACTAGAAACTGATTTGATTTATTTCCAAGCTAATCGGAATTGTTACGCAGCACAATTGGGTTGAATATAAAATGCAGCGATATATCAATATAAAAATATCGAAAAAACAAATCATCTTCCAATTAAAATAGGTTTAGTGCGATTCTTATCCCGTGCGAAAGAAGATCTTCAACCAGGTCAGCATGTCGTACAAGGATATGTTTCAATTTGGAGGATATTCATTTTTATCACAGGAGCTTTCGTTATTAACATACGCGAAGGAATAGATGCCAAAAACTTCTTCTCACCACAATTCACCTACC